ACTCTACTTTTCTTTGGGAAATTTTCTTTTGGAGCATTGTGAGACTTTGCTATTTGAGAAAAATTTCTTCTAGAAGAAGTAGTTCGTGCATATTTCAATTTAAAACACTTGGGTCTAATATGCCCTTCAATACCACAATGATGACATATAGGCACAAAACTAGATTTAGCATTTTTAKAAACAACATTAGGCATATTAAGCTTAGRCACAATAGRTGATGCTTTAACAAAGATAGTTTTAGAACTTGAAGGAGTAGAACATTCATCTATATAGCCTRAACCTCTCTTATCACCAAAAGGTTTGCCTACTTCAATTATTTTATMTAATCKTTGACTACCTATTGTCAACTTCTTAATAGACTCTTTTGCAATTTCAAGCTCTTTAATTGCAAGCATTTCTTTTTCCTTAAGCACATGCAAAAGATCACTTTTCTCATGACTATCACATTCAAGAAATTTAATTTTGTCAATAAAAGAAATTTTCTCTTTTTCTAAAGATATATTGCTAGTTTCTAAATTAACAATTTCACTTTCCAAACTAGTAATTTTATCTTTTAACTCCAAAGAAAAAAAATTCAATTTTCTCATTTTTGTTTCTCGAATCATTTAAATCTAATTTTAATTCACATGCTAAAGATTTGAGATCCTCATTTTCCTTTTCAAGAAATTTAATCCTATCATTCAAGATATTTTTCCCATTATAACAATCATCAATATTTTCATGCAACAGCATATCATTAGTAGCTCTATTTTTCAAACAAGAATTTTCATCTATCAAAGATTTATTCTCTATGGATAATGTCTTATACTTCTTTGATAGTTTAACATATTTAGAACTAACTTTTTCTAAATCACATTGCATGCTTTCAAATGCATCAAACAATTCATCATATGAAGGGGGTTTATGATTACCTCATTACATCACTTTCAAGATCGCTCCCATTGTCTGAATGAGCCATCAAACACAAGAAGGATCGATCATATTTTTCTTTTTCCACTTCATGGAATTTTTCTTGATTTTGAGAATTAGAATTCTCCTTCACATCAAATAAATCATTAGTAGTACAAGGAGAATTTTCAACACTATACATATTATCAAGAAAATTCCAAATATCATATGCATATGTAAAATCTAAAATTTTATCACATCACTAGTAGAAAGTTGGTCTTCAATGACAGTTAAATTCTGTCATTAACATCATTCATGACAATTATGTAATTGTCATCTATTAAGGCATCAAGAAAGAGGAGAAGATGACAAATTTGAAAAATTGTCATCAATGCATTTTCAACTACAGTTATACTCTGTCATTAATAGATTTTCCATTACAATTAATAAATTTCAGGAAAAATCATTTAATTACAATTTATAACTGTCACTAAAATAATCAAATATTTTTGTCATTTTGTCAATAAATACCTAAAGACGACAGTTTATAAATTGTCATGAACTAGTTTTTAACGACAGTTAAAGATTGACCTGATTTTTTTTTAACGATTATTTATAACTGTCATGAAAACTTTTGTAGTGATAGTTTTAATAGTCAATATTGCCAGTTTTAACAATCACGAAAAATTGTATAATGACAACTTAAAAATGTCATGCAACATTAAATAATGACATTCGATAAATGTCACGTAAAGGTTTACAACGACAATTTAGAACTATCATGATGTACTTGATAATGTCAACATTTAATTGTCAAGAAACAGTTTTAATTTTTTTTTGTCACGAAACCTATTTTGTTGACATTTATAAATGTAATTTTCATATAAACTTGTTTTGAAATGTTTCTTAAAATCGCTTTCCATAGTTGTACCTGTGCCTGTCAATTGTAATGTATTTTACATACAAGAACATATATCCATTAGTACACCAACCCACCTACAAATATAAAGTGTATACATATAGTAAATTATATATACATGAACAAAGGTTTTCATGTCCATCAACCTCGTATATAAACAAACTATACCAAGTAACTACTAACCCAACAAAAAATGGCCGAACAATCATCTTTTAGATATTCCAAGTAGCTACTTGTCGTGGTTCTCCAGGCTCTTCTTGCAAGACCTAAGCAATGGACAAAAACCTCAAATATTTCACAATAGTAAATGCAAAACTACAAAATGTAGCTAACATATTACTATTATATGTTGTTAGAGTTCATACCATGTAAACGTGAAAGGTCAAACTACAAAATGCAGCTAACATATTACAGAAACGCTCGGCCCTGCTTCCTTCAATCCTCGCTCCACAAAAGTGGAGAACCTAAACTTTCAAATCTCTTACACTGAGTTTACTTCCTCTTTCTACTCATTGTAAAGGTTAGCATAGTAGAAAAGAAAAATATATTTCAGACCTTCGGAATCAACACACTTTCATAACATTTATGCAGTGCCAGAGAGCTAACAATCACAATACGCACCTAAGATATTTTTCTTTCCTTCAAATCACTCGTACAAAACCCTTCTCTCACAAAAACAAAGGCGCAAAAAGGCAATATCAAACGGTTTTTGAAATTCTTAAAATACTAAAGACTTTACCCAAATAAAACTGATTTAGGAACAACACAGATGTTGAACACTAACAAACAAAAACAATCTACTTATCTAAATCGTAATTGGCTATCTTTGCTGCAAGATAGTCACACAATTATCCAACTAAACTTTCAACTACACAATTATCCAACGAGACATTATACTATATGCATGACACATATAAACACTAAGTCTTAATTGGATACTTGCACAATCTTACATAAGCAAGTCAAGCCTAAAATCAATGCATGATATTCACAAAAGAGACCACGTAAGTAGCCAGAGCGGGAGAGAAAGACAACTAGAAACAAGATATGAACACACCAATCTAAACAACATAGCTTTAACAAACACAAACGGAAATGAAAATTGGCTATCTTTACTGTAGGATAGCCAGAAAATTATCCAACTAGACTTTCAACTATATGCATGACACAAATATGAACAATAAGTCATAATTGGCTATCTTTGCTGCAGGATAGCCACACAATTATCCAACTAAACTTTAAACCACACAATTATCCAACGATACGTTATACTATATGCATGATACATATAAACACTAAGTCGTAATTTGCTACTTGCACAATCTTACATAAGCAAGTCAATCCTAAAATTAATGCACGATATTCATAAAAGAGACCACATAAGTAGCCAGAACGGGAGAAAACGACAACTAGAAACATGATATGAACACACCAATCTAAACAACATAGCTTTAACAAACACAAACGGAAACTATATATGTACATTTTTCATTCTTTCAGAAGACATGAAAACATAATGTTTAACTAATTTTATGGGATGGTAAATGACACAACGAATAATTCTACTATGACCAACATGCTTCTCAAGATCATACGATATGTTTCAGCTCAAGAATATAGTCAATAACATGAGGCGTTAACAGTGATCGAGAACCATACCTCAATATACCGTTACAGTATATGTGGTTCATGTCGAGGATATTGCCCAAAAGTATTTGATGGAACCCTTCACTGAACAAAAATTTTCGATCTCCAACATGCGGCGGCCAACAAAACGACAATGAGTTACATAAACGGGGAAGCCAAAAAACAAGATAGCACATATACTACGAAAAGTATATGTGCGAGAGTTTGAACTCTGCCAACTCCCTTCTAATCACATCCAAATGCTCCTGTGTGTAACACTGCGGTGCCCCTTTCATCTATATATATTTATATCAAAGTCAAAGCAACGCAATGTGAGAATATATATTGTTATTCAAACATTCACACTAGGCTATATACGTACGCATTCTGGGATTGTTGTGTTACGAGCGAAGACTATATCACGCATGAACCGTATGACATAGTATCCACATTCTACTGCATTCGGTTGTTTTGGGCACTGTGAATATAACATATAAATAATACACCGCAATTAATAACTTACATATAAATCCAGGCAAATAATTGAACTCGACAAACGCTTTACCGGTACACGCTTCAGAGCAAATGGTTTTTTCTGTATATTTCTTACAGCCCTACACCAAGTGACTCATATAAGATATTTCATCATTATATATGCTAAGAAATATTCAATACTACATGAGGAGGCATGCAGTACACTTACATGGTGATGACACTAAGAATATCATCTGTCAAGCGATTTCTCACGAGTCAAGAAAAAATGTCATATTCTTTGCGGGAGACATCACTATTAACGTCCAATGATCTCTACAAATCCAAGTTAATAATTACTTATTCGCACGTACGAAATATTTATCTATGGCCAATACGAAAACTTACCCGGAATGATATGGAAACATCAGCAGTTGGTTCAACTCCAATTCTGAGAGTCTTTTAGTCAATACTTGCACGCGGTTTTCTTTAGACAGGTTAGTTATGGAAGTGGCCCCAGCATCTAGAAACTTGTACGGGCTTGATTCATATTCGTTGCCCAACGATCTATGTAAGAACCTACACAAAGGCGTTGAAAGTTCAGTATTTAATAAAGCAATATATTGATCAACATAACGTACTCTACAACCAACAGAAAATCAACTTGAAAGCAATTAGCTTACGTCGTGTAGGCATCAATGCACGGAGTAGTTGTCGGTTCCATATGAAACAACTTCTGTACATCCTCCACCATGATAAACAACTTATGTTCATGACCGAACACATCCTTCGATATAATCANTGAAAGCAATTAGCTTACGTCGTGTAGGCATCAATGCACGGAGTAGTTGTCGGTTCCATATGAAACAACTTCTGTACATCCTCCACCATGATAAACAACTTATGTTCATGACCGAACACATCCTTCGATATAATCATTTGAATTGCCCTTCCAATGTAGTTTATCTCACGAGTTAAACATGTTAGACTAACGGGCGCAGGTTGTGTTGGAGATTTTCCACTTGCGAAACTGAACAGCTCCCTCGAATGTTTTATTTCCTTCAATTCAAGTTAATATGGTTGTTAACGATGAACTAATGAATTCTTACAATCAACTACGAGATGTTACCTTCTCATTATCGGATATGACTAGATTTTGTGGCCATAATATATGTGAACCTATTTCTTGTGAGAGAATATTGTTTCCTCCATGCGTCGGAATTGGAAGTCGGGAGTCGTCATCAACCACCACGTCTATGGACACTTTCACGTTTCCATCCTTCCTCCCAGATTCAAATATAGTGTCCGCAGCGACAACATTATCGATGGATCCAAGTGCCAGGCGACAATGAGTTCCCTCCTGTATTGAAAACAATATTTATAAGCAGTTGACGACGTTATATTTCTTGTTTCCTTAAATTGAAAAGCTGGTGAACACTTACTTTGAACTCCAAAGTTTCTTCCTTGTCCAATATCTTCAAGTGAACACATACAGTAACATCAGTTAAGTATCGGTAACTACATGCATTACATTTCTTATAAGAAAACTTGGTAAACAAAAACACTTACCTCATCTATATTCTCCTTTTTTAAAACGTTTCCATCTCACTCATGCTTCGATAAAGTACCACGCTTTGATTGTGGAGATTTTTTTGAAGCATTTTTAGATGGTGTGGTATGCATTGACTGAGAAGATTTCTTTGGATCGTTTTTTGATGGTGTGATACGCTTCGACCGAGGAGATTTCTTTGGAGCATTTTTAGATGGTGTGGTACGCTTCAGTTTAGGAGATTTTTTTGGAGTCTTCTTAGCTGGCGTGCCATGTTTTGATTTTGGGGAACCTTTTTCATGCTTCTTCAGTTTCACTTCAAGTTCTTTTTCACAAGAGCTGCCATTCGATCATACTCTTTGATGTCCACCTTTTTCTCTCCTACTAGGGGCGTTGAGTGTTTGGTTGGATTATAGAAGTATTGGGTTTTTGTTATGCCCTGACCTACTGCTTTAACAAGTCCGGGCCGATCCCGACTGCCCAGTGCGATGGATAACAAATCCCCATATTTGTCCACATTCTCTTCTTGCAAGTCTTGCGTTATCATGAGATCATCCTATAATTGTAATAGCAAATATAAGTTCAAACAATTCTTATACGTGCTTAAAGATTAATGTAACACTTACTATGCGCTCTACGACTTTCTGTGTCGGTCCATGCACAATCTTCCCCTCGCGATTCGTTCGAGCCTTCTTCCATAAGATGCAACGATCTGATGGTCTCTCATGTGATGCATCAATTTTCTACACACATAGTTAAATTTAGTTAATAAGTATTGCTTAAATTGTTATAATAAATATATAACGTACCAATTCCTCAGCAAGGTTTGCATAACCCTTCCGCAACATGCAATGGTTATACACGTGCTTTTTACGTTTTTCTCTATTCGTCTCACTTTGTCTCTGCATAAAGGCATTAATGTATCGGTGTACTACATTTTTTGATATAGAACATTGATAAATGATGTGCAAAGTATCCAGATTCTTATCCGTACCTCAAAGTCTTTAGTCAATCTAGATTTCACGAACACCTCCCAATGTTCATGCGAAATATGCGAGTAGTCTTCCGGAGGAGCTTTTAATTTATCCTTGTCGTTTATGAATGGCTTAATGAACTTGTTCGTGAGCCTGTACTTAAAGTTTCTAAAAGCAATCCCAGCCACTTGAATTAGATTTTTTTTGGTTCTATGATCAACTACAAATCCACCCTATATGGCCAATACAAATCGTTTAACATCAGTGTTTATTTGTAAACAAAGTATAACTACTTCAAAAATTATAAAGATACCTGTATCAAGTCATAGATTTTCTCCTTCGTCTCGGATGGAACCGATTTCCATGTTTCGTATATTGTGGGAATATGGTGTTGCACACTTATTCCAATAAAAGTCTTCAATTTTGTCGCATTATGTCCAATCGGTTGCCCTTTCACGTTATACTTAATAACCCGACGGTGACCTTCGCTGCTAATTCGTGTAATCTTGTGCAACCCCGTAGGTCCACGCTTCTTCCTCGTCTTGCTGGTTTCGCCTACATCTGTCATTTTGTCGTTCTGGTACAAATTCTCTTTAGTTAAGTGGAAGATAACCAATAATAGTAATTGAACATTAAATAAGACAATAAAATAAAAACTCAGTAATATTACTAATATTACATTAACAAACAGCAAAATAAAATAGAATACGTGAACTCAATATAGTCTAATGTGAACAAAGCGATGCATGATAAGAAAATTATTTAAAACAATGTCTTCTAGTATATCCGCTTGAACCGATTGCCTATGAAAAACAAAAAAGACAACAGTACACACGTGTTAGAATTTGATTAACACAACAACAAATAAAAAATTTTAAAATATTGTATACACGTACTCAATACATAATTAAATATCAACCCAGGTGCCTT